GTGCTCTTTGACCCTTCATCGTTCCTCTGAGAGAGTGTCTGGGAGATAGGTAGCTTGGAGATGGCCGTAGAACGTGCTTTCCTGGACGCAACATTCAGCCATTTCTACTGTCTTCTTCAACTTGATTTATTTCGAAAAAAAATGTTCTTTTCCACGGTTTCTGCACTGGATGCGTTTGGGATCGAAAATCTCACCTGCGCAGACTGGCTGCGCAGTTCACGTGCTGAGATCCCTACTGTAGGCGTGAGCTGTGCCATTTACATGATCTCTATGCACTGTAGTACCCTTGGCGCCCTGGAAGTGCAAATGTACAAGAAAAGTGATGTATTCGTAACTCGTTCATCAAGCCAGTTTTGCAATTTGGGTCGAATTTCACTACAGCACCTACTAGTAACTATATTTAGACAAAAGAGAAAGACCAAGGAACTACAAGTTACGCTATACTGTCCACTAACACCACCAGTTACTAAACAATCAGCTCATGCGATAACATTGCACGACACTGACCGACGGTACTGACGTTCTACAGGTAACTGGCTAACAGCTCTAGCACATCTTGTAGCTCCTTGGTCTTTCTCTTTTGTATAAATTAAGCCTTGTCTCTCCATCTGAGTCCATAGCTATATTTACTTCTTCTGTTGGGTGTTTTTTTATTGCAGGTGGCTGCACTAGCGTGTATCAACATAACCCGCTACTCCGCTGGTACCCAGCCATGGGGCATCCCTGCTGCAGACTGTGAATTCGGACCGACGCAGCTTGACGATGGCAAATTTGAGGTGAGCAATGTTTGCTCTTTCGTAATGATACGACCTGGCTCCACAGTGACATTCGAATAGATGATGTAATGTTGGACATGCACTGCCCAGGGCTAATCACTGATCACTTAAAAAAAGTAAATTATCGTGTCCGTTCCCGAAGGGAACTCACGACGGCCGCTAACACCCGGTAAACCCTAGCAGCAGATGCAGCGCCTAACGGTGGGGGTGAGTGGATAAGTCTCATAACCACTGGCACAAGTGCCAAGAAAGACCCCATTTGCCGCATCCATGTACCCCTTGTGCCTGGCCACAAGTTCCCAGTTGACTGTGGGTTGCAGCACGGCTGGAAAAACCGCTCCCTTTCCATACTGTAAAAGCCATACCGTATTTCCCCGTAAGTTAGGGGCCGTTTACATGAGGAAAATAAGCTCGGGCTTATTCGCCTCGGGCTTATTTTTCAACCGTTTCATGACAGCTGTACGGGGCTGAGCTCAGGTGAGTGACTGCGAGTTCTGCGCGCATTTTATTTTTCAAATCGCACATGAACGCAGTGGTAAATGTTCGTGTCTGATGAAATTTGGATCAAGAAATGCCGGCTCAGGTTTCTACTGCCTTTCCAATTTGTCACTTATTTTCGAGAAGGTGAAGGATGGGCTAGGACCTTCCACTGGACGAAAACCAGAAGAAAACATACCAAGAAATAAATAAAAGAGACGCACTGTCCACGGCCACATTCTCTCAGGTTCACGAGGCGAAATCGAAAAATACGGAAAAACTCGCTTATAAGCCCTTCTTGACCGTTTACATGACAAAATAAGCCATGGGGGTTGGATAAGCTCGGGGGTCAAGGGTAGGGCTAGTTCAGCGCGAGCTGAATAAGCCCGCCTGACCATGTAAACGCGCGCTCTAAAATGACTGGGTGACAGATCAAGGCGGGCTTATCGTACGCCTAGGGTTGAATAAGCCCGGGCTTATTTTTCTCATGTAAACGCCCCCTCAGTACGTACTAACTTTCGGGGAGTACTTTTTTATCGGGGGTAAATGACACGCAGTGGGAAGCCTGCGCAACTCTAATGTCCGTGCATATGATGTATGTACTGTATGGTGTCTGTACATGTAGGACGGGTACGAACTTACTATCTTTCGGGGGGGGGGGGACTATCTTTCGGGGTGATAATCTCGGCAGTGGAAAGTGTATTTTTTATAGGTGGGTACTAAGTCATTGGGGAGAACTGCTGGTGATTTAGGGCCGTACTCTGGGCGGAACTGCCTTTGTTGTGATTGAGGCCAATCCCTGTTCCTATTTTACCTGGCGTTGTACACTCTGGTTGTCATCTCGGCATTCTTTGTGAGATGAAGGTGTTGTACCTGTGGTGTTGTTGCTGCTAAACTGAGGAGGGCCTTTTGACAATGGGCGGTCAAATATCTAAGATGTATGTGTGTGCGTGTCCGTGTGTGTGTGTGTGTGTGTGTGTATTTTGGCGTGTGTGTATGCGTGTGACTTTGTGTATGCTTCTTCCTGTCTTTCTCAAAACAAACCAACCTTGCAGATCATTGGATTCACCACGCCGATGTTGGCCACGTTACAGATGGGCAGTCACGGCATCAGGCTGGCGCAATGCTCTCAAGCAGTCATCTCCACCAAGCGTGTCATTCCGGCTCAGGTACAGTACAGTAGCAGCATCAGCAGCAGTAGCACTTCTGCCTACCAATCATTCATTCATTCATTCAGACTTCATTTGAAGGAGTCTCCGGAACCATCAGCCTGTGTAGTTTTCACAGGAAGCGTGAGTTACGAAGTCTGAAGAAAATGTTGAACGGTCTCTGCTGGGATGACGACTACACCATAGCTCAGTGGTTAGAGCATCGCTAGCTACAAGCGAGGGTCCCTGGTTCGAGTCCTGGTGGTGACAGTCAATTTTTTCTTCAGACTTTTCCGTTCGCTCAACTAGTGAATAGACGATTCTCCAAAAGTAAATGGATACTTTATCGGGCAAGTTCCCTGGAAGGGTGGATAGGATGACTGGGAAGTGAAGCACATGTTGCCTTCCGTTTTACCCGTGCGGCATGAGCTGCAAGAATTCCTTGTCGGTGATTATGGAATGTTTGAGTGCATCCGTAGTAAGCCTGGATCTGCATGGATGGATCAGATCCGGTTTGCGCACTTTCGTATTCGCACAAAAGTGTTGTTAGGATGGGAGGTACATGTTAGTGGGAGTAACGTCGTGCTTTTTCGTACCGTCCAGTCTGCAATGGTACAGTAGATGTGTGAACTTTCGTATATTGATGTGCGTGAGATTTGAGAATCTGTAAATTAGCATCGAGCGTGCTCCTATTTTGCCCGTACATTCTCTCACGTGTGTGCGTACATGGGTGTGTGTGTGTGTGTGTGTGTGTGTGTGTGTTTACGCTGTGTTGTCTGTCGTTCACCTCACAGGTCGACGGCGAGCCGTGCAGACTGGCGCCGAGCACCATTGTCATTTCGATGCGCAACCGCGCGTGCATGCTGCAGCGCGTCAAGCGCAAGGACCGCCTCGTCACCAGCATGACCTCGTACCCGGCCAACCTGGTCGAGAACCGCTTCCAGCAGACGGACGAGGCACTGCTGGAGGGAGAGTTCGAAGTCATCAATCCGACTAGTATCACTAGCCAGCACGGTACTGGTGGCTCGCCCGCATCGCCACAATCCTCGGCAAAGCCATCAGCGCAGGTCACTCACAGCGCAATCTCGCCTTTGGGCTCTCCGCTCGCCGTCGCCAGCATGAATCACCGCTCCCTGTCGGCGATGTCGCCGGGCAAGTCCCGCTCCGCCAACAGCTCGCCGCTGCACTCACCGGGGGTGACGCGGACGCGCCTGAAGCGCCTGTCGCTCTCCAACCAGTCGCTGCCCGACCAGACGGGAGATCTGCTGAACGGCGCCGTGCAGTGCTTCAACGTGACACCGCCGCCGGGGGTGGTCAAGACGAAGGGTGCGCCCACCGTCGTCATGGCCACGGACAGTGCACCGGCCGGCATCACGCATCGCCACCCCGTGTCCATACTGGTGCGCAACGGCCTGGAGAATCCGTCGTCAGGGCATCCAATAAGACGGGTGAGCATTACATTTTGTCCTGGCTGTATCTACCCTAGTCATATAGGCAACCTTGTGAATACCGGTACTGTAAAACATGTTATTTTCGGCGTAACTTTAATTTCGGTGATTTCGGTAGAGAATTCAGGCGCCTAAATTTGGATTACACCTAAAAGGCACTAGAGTATGCACTGTATGTGAAGGGAACGCTGGTCACCTAATTCTACATTACACCTGAAACCTGGCAGGTCTCTGGCACCGAAATTTTAATCTACCTAAAATTACATGTTTTACAGTAGTGATCGTTCCGATCGTTGGCGTTTGGATAATCAGCACTCTACTGTACTTTCACCCTCGTGAGTACTGTCATTTCACAAATTTTCCGTGTGCTTTTGTTTTCGGTACTTTCGGTGCGTCTGTTTCATACCTAAAATTTCAATACACCGAACAAACACTAACACACATAGTCCAATGGAGAACTGCTCACCTAACCTAGCCTGTTGCTCTCATACCGAAAATATTGAGCTCCGAAAATTTCTGAAATTAGAGTAAACGACAACTCACGAATATCGGCACTTTTCTCATGCCTGTTTGGGGGGGGGGGGGGGTCGTTATTCGCAAGGTTGGCTGTGTAAGAGGTGTACATGGTCGTGTGCACAGTTCGTTCATGGAACACTCAGATTTCGAGGTGTACATGGTCGTGTGCACAGTTCGTTCATGGAACACTCAGATTTCAAAACTGGCACCCTAACTTTTTTTGCTGTCGCTCGTATACTGGTAGATGTAGTCAAAAGAACTGTCCATCTCACAGTGAGTGCAGCTCTTCAGCGCCACATCTGACGAGGCCGAAAAAGTCCAAAGATGTGGAGTTAGAAACTGAGGTATATGCATGTATATGGAGCGTTTTGGATTTTACGCTTGTTTCATTGCTGACTTCCACTTGAGTGTCGTAGGCACGCTGCTTTCTACCTAGTCCGGCTACAGCCCCAAGTGCTAAATTAGTCATTGCGTTTCAGTAAAACTCTCCTTATTCGGGCACGTCCGTCTGCCGGACACCTTTCTGATCAATCTAAAGTGACAATAATAAGCTTTTCGAAAAACATGGCCTCGAAAATTGTTTATTGGCATGACGAATGTTTACTTGATGCAGTAGGTGTGTATGTTCTGAGCTACGTGCAATGCTCCGTCCCAATCTGCCCGGGTAAGAGGAGATTCACTGTAGATGCACCATGCATGGAGCATATCGATAATCCGAGTGACGTCACAGGTCATGAATGTGCAATCTTATGACACGTTTCGTCCGTTTATGGGCAACTACTTGCCTCAGCTTTCCATTCCATATGTGGGAAGTCTAGATCTGTGAGCGGGATATCCTCTATTGGCTGATTGCACAATTATAAGGTCGTGCTCCCTTCGTTACCATCCGTATGTAGCAGCAGTATATGCCAGGGTTGGATGTGAGATCTTCCATATCAGGACTGAACACCCTTCATTGATTAATAATATGCACGTATGGAACACACAATCAGTCTATGCTCATACAGTGCGGCTACATGACAACTCAACCATGTGAGTTTTAAAGCATGATTCACACTACAGTGGTCCCTTTATAATCCACCACCATTCGTGATAGGGAAATTCCCTTCATAATCCGGCACCATTCGTGATGGGGAAATTCCCTTTATAATCCGGCACCATTCGTGATAGGGAAATTCCCTTTATAATCCGGCACCATTCGTGATAGGGAAATTCCCTTTATAATCCGGCACCATTCGTGATAGGGAAATTCCCTTTATAATCCGGCACCATTCGTGATAGGGAAATTCTTCTGCATAGAGAGAGAAGAGCTTGCGTGCGCACATGCGTGCCTTCCCACAGTACTTCTAAGACTTCCTATTCGTCTGTCTCTCGTTTTCCTCTAGCGGTCACCTTGTTCAAGTATAGCAGACAGTGTTGATGACATAGTGGAGGAGTCCTATGGTATGCCAGGTTAGTCATGATGCTCTGTAATGCCTGCTGATGCTGCTGGTCTCCCACCCAGTGCTGCGACTACTACTAGAACACTATAATGCCTGTCCAATGCTGGTCTCCCACCCAGTGCTGCGACTACTAGAACACTGTAATGCCTGTCCAATGCTGGTCTCCCACCCAGTGCTGCGACTACTAGAACACTATAATGCCTGTCCAATGCTGGTCTCCCACCCAGTGCTGCGACTACTAGAACACTGTAATGCCTGTCCAATGCTGGTCTCCCACCCAGTGCTGCGACTACTAGAACACTGTAATGCCTGTCCAATGCTGGTCTCCCACCCAGTGCTGCGACTACTACTAGAACACTGTAATGCCTGTCCAATGCTGGTCTCCCACCCAGTGCTGCGACTACTAGAACACTGTAATGCCTGTCCAATGCTGGTCTCCCACCCAGTGCTGCGACTACTAGAACACTGTAATGCCTGTCCAATGCTGGTCTCCCACCCAGTGCTGCGACTACTAGAACACTGTAGTGCCTGTCCAATGCTGGTCTCCCACCCAGTGCTGCGACTACTAGAACACTGTAATGCCTGTCCAATGCTGGTCTCCCACCCAGTGCTGCGACTACTAGAACACTGTAATGCCTGTCCAATGCTGGTCTCCCACCCAGTGCTGCGACTACTAGAACACTGTAATGCCTGTCCAATGCTGGTCTCCCACCCAGTGCTTCGACTACTAGAACACTGTAATGCCTGTCCAATGCTGGTCTCCCACCCAGTGCTGCGACTACTAGAACACTGTAATGCCTGCTGTTGCTGGACTTGTCCAGTGCTGCAACTACTACTAGAACACTGTAATGCTGGAAAGTTATTGGAAACCCAGAAACCTTTGTGATCTGGAATCCGTTGCGGTTTTCGCGATGGGTGCGACATCGCGAAAGTAAGCCGGCGCGAAACGTAGAACTGTAGTAAAGAAACTGGGAAAATGGACTCCAATCGCAAACATCTCCAGGTGCATTTGACTGTGCTAGCCAATCACAGATTAAAATATTTCCGGGTTTACAGTAGCAGTGGGGTAATATTTTTGTTCCTTTTGAACACCCACCGCTTTAGGAGCTGCATCTGCGCCTTGATCCTAGAGGGTGGTGGCGTTCCTGCGGATGCGGAAAGCTCGGCTTTCAGCCGAGTCTCACGCGAACCATGAATGTTTTTTTAATTTTTTAATTTGAACATCCAGTGAAACTTCTGTACAGAGTGGTGTTCACAGTTTGGTCATGTGACTACATTTGTGTAGAAAATGATCATGACATGCAGACAGTGGATCCAACATGGCCCACATCATGTGACCTATAGATGCATGGGGTTGAGTGGAGTTGGAACCAACATGGCCCACATCATGTGACCTATAGATGCAGGGGTTGTGTGGAGTTGGAACCAGCATGGCCCACGTCATGTGACCTATAGATGCAGGGGTTGTGTGGAGTTGGAACCAACATGGCTGCCCTGTATGGTCATGTGATAGTTGTGAAACTGCTCCGTAGCATGCCTCCAATGACAGTAAAAATCTGTTCTTTGGGCCATGTGAAAGATACTGATCGTTCTTTATCGTCAGAATTTCACGAGAAATCGGGATGGACAGGAGGGTCGAGAAGATTTCTGCTTGTTTAATTGCTGGCCATCTTTTGCCGAACCAGTTCAAGCC